ACACTGCTGTATAAACCTTGTAATGCAAAAGGATTTAGCCTCCACAAGGTAAGTCTTCATACACAGTTTCATGCTTTTAAAGATTTTATGAAACATAACCTTACATGCTGAATGAAGGCTCAAGAAACAAGATCATGATCGCCCTTTACAAACTGGTTTGGCTTTATTCTTTTAATTCTTTAAATTCATCTGAAAATCTATATCTCGCATAGTTAACTCTTACTGTAGCCCTCCCCTGCATTACAAATCTATTGTTTTCTGTTCCTAATTGTAATCATGTATTTCTCTTCCTTCATTGATTTTAGTATAGCATTTTTGTCCTTTCTTCTTTCTGCTTGCCCTAATTCAGATTAAGCTTTATTAATATGTTTGATTTCTATAGATTCCTACCACCTTTTTTCAAACCAAATCTCTGAGCTTCTTTAGGCTTAACATACTGCATTTAATTAAAGGATAATTATTGTGGACCATCTTGAAATTGCTGCCTTTTCAGAGTCTATTAAAAGCCCTTAATTTATTCTAGTGTTAATATCTTCAGATACTTGATTAAATAGTAAAGAAAGAAATGTCTGTTCCCATATAGTGAAATGATAGACTGAAGATTAGTAAAAGCAAAGAATGCCAAGTTTCATCTTCATTATACCATGGTGTTTAGGACTGTGCATTTTCTCTCTAGCACTCTCTTCACTACTACAATTTTTGAATTTTGCAGAAGAGTAAACATCATAAAGGACAGATGATACAACATCTAAGAAATGACTAAATAAATATATAGCAGTGCATAAACTATATGAACTATAACAGATTAACGAGCAAGATCTCAATAACAAACCATGAAAAAAAAAAGCAAACTGGTGGAAAGAGGATTTTTAACTGTTCTTAGTAAAGGAAAAATTATTAAGAAATTAATAAGTCTTTTTTTCTTCCCTTTATTTTCTCACATGAAGAACCTAGCGCTCTTCCCCCACTCTCTAACACTCTGAAATAATGTCTAGGTAATTTCAGGATGTGCTATTCAGGTAAAAGTCAGGATATGTGCTACATATGCACATATGTACAATGCAAGTGGATTTTCTTTCCTTCCACCTTGTGCAGAACAGCTACTTCTGCCTTCTCTATTTACCTATCTCAGAAAACAATTAAGTTTCTGTTTTATGATAGTATCGTTTCTCGTAACATGACAGCAAAAATATTGGATCATTGCTAAGAATCCCATTTTCTGATGATGGAAATTGAGTCATTATATAACACAAAAGGCCATAACCTGATTAGTCCTATGCTCAAAAATTTCCTAAGTGAAGCACGTTACAGGTGTCAGCCAATTAATCATCACGTGGGTTTGGCCTTCAGAATTGTTGAAGAGAAAAGCAGTGAGACCTTTGGTGAACATTACAGAACTTGATAGGTTCATCTTTACTGTGTATGTATTTGGCAATATGTATTAGTATCATTGCAAAAAAACAAACAAACAAACAAACCATCCAACCAACAAACTATTGCCCATGCCTTGAAATATTGAAATATGCCTCTGACTATTCTACAACAATAGCGCTATATTTGTTTCAGTTATGTCAATAAAGAACAAGACCATGACAGCTCTTAAAACAAATTTTAACTTTTTTTTTTTTTTTCTTTTAAGAGTAAATTAAAGAAATATTTAAGCATGTCTTCATGAAGGGCAGTTTTGGAACAGAAACAAGTTAAAAAGTCAGCTTCTTCTCCTGGCTGGATTACTTCCAACAATTATTGTTACAGCAATATTTGAAACAATATCTCATTCTTAGCAGAAAAGATTTTAAAACGTCAAGTATATAATTGTTTCAAATTCTACATTTATTTTATAAAGCAAAAGTGCTTTTTCACTGGTTTGGTGATTCACACTGCAATTCCTCCACTGCTTTATATATGGAACTTGGAACTACACAGACGCACAAGTATTCCCAAACAACAATAGACTTTTCAGCATTATTAAGTTTCTCATATTTTAGACCAAATGCTTAGATTTTTTTTTTATCATGTACAGTTACATTAATGAGTATCCAATAAAAATATGCATGTTGTTCAATTTTTATTTTATTATAATTTTGTAAAGTAAAACAGATTGTTTTACTTCAAATTGAATGAAATTTGTATCTGGTAGAAAAATGTATTTCTGAGTTCTAGACATTATAATGTTCTTTCCATGCCCTGAAAAACAGTGTTCAAGAAACCCCCAACAATGAAATTCTGAAGGAGTATTATTTCATGATTTTACAACTTGAGAAGCACTCAAAATATATGGCACTGGGAGCTGTGAGAGTACTGAGGCACTATACAGAAACAGACATCAGCAATCACTATATCCCAAAGCGATTACAGGAATGGGAACTACACTTCAAGGTAACAGTAATGGAAACTACTCTTCAAGGTAACAGTAAACTCACTCTCACAAAGCAACTTTTACTTTGGAGATTATTTTAATATACACATCTGAACAGTGGAATAAGATAACTTATCCTATTCTGAAACTACATGTTCTTTCAGACATTTCTTGAGGTAAATGATCATTGAAACAGTATAAGAACACTCTGATTTCTCAGAAAGAAAAAGAAATAAATTTTAAAAATATCTACACTATGATCAATATTCATTCCCACGTTTGAATTTAACCATCTAAATAATTTAGCAATTAGATAAAATATATACTGTATCAAAACCTAGCTACTCTGTAAAATTATTAGACTCTATCCCTAATGATTATGAATTATTAACTATGAATTGGATTGTATGAAAGTTTAACATTTTTACTGATCAACAGTGTCATAATTTTTTTTTGGAATTTATCAGAATTCACGTGCAAATTCAATATCTTGATACATACTTACGCCAAATAAATACTGATAAAATATGACCTAGTTAATTAACTATTATTCACTGATTATTAAAACATCATTCTTTAAATTCCAGCAAAGAAACAGAGCTAAGTAGCTGCTTACTAAAATCTTACTACCCAGATACTCAAGTGGGGCTTTCCTCTTTTTTCATATATGCCCTATTTTTATGAAGATGCAGTAAACTTCAATATATTCAAAATACCCTCCCTTCCCTTTCTACTTTCCTGTTCTGTCATCCATTTATAAATCTCAGAGGAAAAATCAGTTGATGATCTGTATCTCCAAGCTAGCATTCAATTACTTTCTTCCCTCTAGATTACTTGTCAGGAGAAGCATTCCTGCAGTGTGTATCTGAAAAAGTTCTTCAAACACTGATCAAAACACACAGTTTACAGGCAGCTGCTTACAGTCCCACTTGTGTGATCCAAAACTATGATATAGGTGCACAGAGCTGTGTTTACCCATAATGTTCATTCCTCACTCTTACAGCACTTTTCCCCCAGTTCTTAAAGTGATCACTCAATTTCATTCCCTTCACAGGTAAAGTGGTTTTACTTTATGGTAAAATATAGCATCCTGCTTTTAACAGTTACTTTTTATGAGGAAGACTGACCTTATTAAAAAAAAAAAAATACTGAGGACCCTAAGGCTGCTGAAATGAAATGGAAGTAGTTTCTCTGAAACAATGGCAAAATTTAAGTACTGCATTTCTGACATTTCTGTTTAGAAACCATCTCCACTTGCCTGGCAGAGATATCAGGTTTAAAAACTCAAGGAACAGCAAGGAGAAACAAACAAACAAAAAAAAGGGTAAAAAAAAAAAGGTATAATGGGTAAGAAAAATATACGAGTGAAATAGTTTGAAGACAGGAAACTGCAGAGGAAGCTAATGCTGATTCAGCCTTGCATATGCTGTGCACTATGGATACTAAGAAGCCACTTTTTCCTGTGGGATCTTTTGTGACTGAATCTTCCTTAGGTCTCAGCCATGAAAGAGCAGGTAAGATCAAGTCTAATGTGAGATACTTACAAAGGGAAGTGCTGTTGACCCACCTGCCCTAAACAAACCCTGCGCTGTGTCAGTTGGTGCAAACCTGTTGCAAAGCTACATCTACTTCAGAACCCTGTGTAGCCAAAAGCGTGGCTATATACACTGGTGTGATTACAAACATATCGCTGAACAAAAGGAGTCTGGGATCAAGGATCAGGACTTCTTTCACCTGCAACTGGTCTAAGAAAAACACAAAGGCATAATGGAGTTCCTTCCAACTGAACTATTCTATTCTAATCATTAGCAGATAGAAAACTGGCTATTGCTTGATCAGCTAAATTAGTAATGATCATCAAGCATGCAGGTCTGTGGAGATATACATGTGACTGTTATGATGAAAAGTCTTGCATTAGGAAAGGCTAGCAACTTTTTCTGCTTCTGATGTTTGTTTTTTTTTTTTTTTTTTACACCAGTAAGAGGTTGCAACAAAAAAGAAGTCTTTTTGATATTGTTAACTCTGTACCAGGCAGTGTTTGGTAGCATCAGAAGGCTTTTTCTTCTAATAGCTTTTCTGTCATACACCATACACCAAAAGAAAAAGAAAACTGAGAAAAACAAATTGGCAAAGAGCTGGCAAAATTATTCATAATGAATTATTAATATAACACAGCTTAATGTCTTCCCCTCATCTACAAATTCTCAGGGTTAAACGATTACCATCATTATATTCTCTCATGGATTCTAATAAGAGTATGGACATGTCAGGAATGTCATGTCATACTGGTCTGAAGCTTACTGAAGCCAAGTTAAAATTATTTCTTTCAAAATTGCTACTATTCGTTGGAATACCCCTTGCTTAATGAAAGTTACATTACTTTGGGAAACAGAAGGAGGACACTGGGCCATTAACATATAGAAGGTGTATTTATCAGAAGAGAGGCTTAAAAAAGGTTTGGATTAAGATATCACTCAGATTAGAGAGAAAATGTTTGGTCTTCCACATACTATGTTCTTCTCAGTTGTAACAAATAAAAGGGAGAACAAAGAATGATTTTTATATGTTTCGTTATCAAATAAAATGTTTTACTTTAAACACTGGCAAGCTCAGTTTAAGAACAGGTCCTGTAAGTATTAATTTCTTCCTTTATGATCACTGAGAAATGTAAGGGCACAGCATAGTTTTAGATTAACATAACGAATAGTAAACAAAAACTAAATTCCTTACGGTTTGTGACTCAAATATTGGTTTCCCAAGTATATAACATTCCAAAGGGAAGCAGTGAATTACCTGGGAGCATAAGGATGCGTAATCTCTGGCCAGAGCAGTTTAGTATTTCATCTACTTTAGGGCTGACTTCACTAGATGCAGACAGAAGTACTTCTCCCCTTTAACAAGCATTCCCAGGGAGCGTCTGTCAGAACGGAAAAACAAGTGGGTTATTCACTAAGATTTATAGTTAGTAGCCATGTAATACCCAATAGGAAATAATTACTTATGCAGCACAACAGCTGAGTTGGAATTTTAAAAGGGTCTGCATAATTGACCAATAGCAGTATCTGAAATAACACTGCTTAGAAAAAGATTAATTTAGTCTCATGCAACAGGGCATAATTCAGCCCTACGGGCATCAGGAAGGCATGTTATCTTACGTCCAGCATTGCAGATTGGACTTAGTGGTATTAGGGGATATTTCTGGTGGTTTTTTTTGTTTTTTTTTTTTCTCCTCTGAAGCACATAGTATTAGCCATTGCCAGAGGCAGAATATCAAACATTTATCTGCACCTATTTCCTTTATAATGAAGGACTAATTCAATTTTATAACAATAGGAAAGTCTAGCAACGAGATTGGGATCAACTAGAAAACAGCGTACTGGAAGCTTTTGCATGTTACTCTAATAAATGCAGCAGCTTGCCTTGGCTTGCTCCCTTACTGGGATTAGAGTTTTGACATTTACCAATGCAGTAGCCTTGGCAGACCTTGAATGATGCCTTATATATTTATTTAAACATAAACTTCAAGTTCTGTGCTCCCTTTCAAAGGGCTAAGAAGGTTGACTTAGTGACAGTGCAGGGTATGAAAGTATTGTTTGCTACATTCATAATACCTTTATGCTTTGAAACCACATTCTACTGTGATTTTTCTATATGAATCTCAACATATGACTAGTTTAGATAAGCAAAGTTTGTTCTCTCTTTTGGAAGCGATAACAGTATTACACAACCCTAAAAGTTAAGCTACAAAATGCTTTGCTTCCTATTCTAACATGGGACTGCTGCAAGATTGTGTTATTTGAAAATGATGGAACTAGACTAAGAGGACAAATTCCAGCTACTGAAATAAATTAAGCAGCCCCTAAGCCTCAATGAATTAAAACAAAAATAAAGGGGTGGTGGTGAGAGGGAACCAAACAGAAGCATTTGGCACATTTCCCTCTTGAAAATTAAAATTAAATACCTTATGATTTTAAAATGTGAACTACTTTTCTAACAAAGAAATCTTTCCAGCTTGTATGTTGGGAACAAGTTTGTGCCTTCATCTATGACCCCCAAGGATGTTACCTGACATCATATTCACTAGAATCAATAAGTATAAAAGATTGTACATGCAGTGAAGCTAAACATGAAAGAGGCAGAAAGAAATTAGTATTTTTTAAGGATGTCTACTTAATATTTTATAAGTTTTTAAGCAACACTGAATTATTCCAGAGTTGCAATTGTATTCTTTCATTTAGTTTTATAGCACATACTTTTATATTTCATTTATTTCAACATTTTATAACAAAAATAATAACTGTACTTATGAGAGTAATGAAAATTAAGGCATTTAAAATTTTGTCAAAACATACAATTGTTCAGTTCTATATATGTTTAAATAAACATTATTAAGAACAGAAAACCTCTCAAGCACTACATCTGAAATTTTAGAAGAGTGCATTTTGAAGAAAGTATGCATTCTGCACCAGAATTCTGCTCTCCATCAATCACATCAGATTCTACTTTCAATTCACAGAATGACAGAATCACAGAATGACAGAGGTTGGAAGGAATCCTGGGATGGGTCATCTGCTCCAAACCCCCCGCTCAGTCAGGACGGTTCAGAAATCCCTCTTGAGAATCAAGAAAAAACAAGAATTTATTTTAAAATGAGGAAGAAATTATGTTAGTGATACATTGTATTCTTTAGCCATTTTTGATCTCCACTGATCTCCAACCTCATCATTTGTAACTCATGTTGAATTATGCATTGTACTAGACACTGCTATAGAGTGCAGTGCTGTATGTGGCTTCCATAATTCAAATATATGTTTCATAAAGACATTCTAAATACGATCCTCTAGTGCTTTATCTGAAATTTGTCTTTTGTCTGGTATTCTCAGCTCTATTTAATAATTTGCTATAGAGGTACAAATTTTGTCCACATTTATTTAAAGAAAATGCAAGGATAATCTCAGAAAGATTACAGTTCAGGATTGAAAAAGAAACCCAATCCACTTTGTTTAGGTATTCTAAAGGAAAATTTCTTGCTACTTTACAGGGTTTGAATAGTAACAGCCTCCGCAGTCACTGCAGTGAGGCTCAAAACCCTGAGATCCAGTCTGCTTCTGCTGCTTATTCTTTCTGTAAATGTATGTGATTTTAGGCTGCCATAATTCAACAAGCAAATTCTGCCAGTCAGAAGCAGCTAAGTAGCTATAATACCCCCCGCACTTCAATCTGTAGGCAAAAGTGGCAGGAGATTTCTTTGCTTATTTTCTGATGTTTCTCTCACAGTCAGACATACTCAAAATGAGAACAGAACAGCTGATTTACTCCTTATAGTTACAGTGTTCCTGAGTATTTTTCACACTGCAAGTTGTACGGCTTGCTGGCTCCTATAAGTACAGCAAGCCTTTTGAAGATTCATCTATTAGTATGACATATTTTCACATTTATACAAAAAGATTTAAGCATATTTGTCTGCCACAGTAGAAGGTTTATAACTGCTCAGTCAGAAATCCAGAAGAGTCATCCTGTCTTCCTGATATTACCAGAAATGCCCTGGGGTTTTTGTAAATCTTCAATAGGAAGTGAATGGAAAAAAAAAAAAACCTTACGAAACAGCATCAGCATTTCACAATCTCTTGTGTCATTCCAAAAATATCAAGTACTTCAGTATCTTATAGAAGGTTATCTTTTTCTCATCTATCAAGATGGTATCAGTTTACTTGGTAATTTGAAAGACAAAATTCAAGAGCTTCTCCTGAAAATTCTGGAAATCCTAATATTATGAAAAATACACGGCACACATTTGTGGATGACTGTAGAAAACATAGAATTGCAGGAATTGGAAGGGACCTCAAGAGACCGTCAAGTCCAAAATCCCTGCTAAAGCAGGTTCCCTACAATAAGTCACACATGTAGACATCCAGACAGGTTTTGAATATCTCCATAGAAGGAGACTCCACAGCCTTCCACTTCTGGACAAACAGTCCTAGTGCTCTGTCACCCTTACTGTAAAGAAGTTCTTCTGCACGTTGAACTTCCAGTGTTCAAGCGAAGACACTCCCTCACTTCTTTCCAAAAATGTCTACTACTTGTGACTCTAAGTTTGCTGAGATCCTGATACTATATATTTAGACTGTAACAAACTTTTATACATAAACATCCAAAATTGAATACACAAAGCTCAATCCAGAAACTGAATGCCTTTGTATACTAGTGTAAAATAATGCATAATAGATGGGAATAATTTACGTTATTGCATGACCAAATGTTAACATACGTATGGAATTTGTATCAAGTACAAGTAATAGGAGTATATGAAGTATGGCAAAGTTTAGACTTCAAATAGAACTACTTTTCCAAATTCTTATTCACTTACTCATCAGAATTTTCAATATCCATAATTTTGGTTTTTAAATACATCACTGTTTTATTTCACAACACAGCATTTGTTACATTTCTGCATTTGAAAATTTCTGTTTTTCAGCATCTGCATGTAAAAGAGTTGGCAAAAGTCCACATGAGCACCTTTCAGCAAAGAACTATTTTTGTTGCTGAATGTGTTTTGTATCTTTGCACATTAACGGATATTCTAAAAGTTATCTGAATTAAGTGCCATCAAAGTTAACGGCCTCTTTTTATAAGACTTTATCTTTTTCATTTTAAGATGTTATTAGAATAATAAAATTGGTGCCTGGTGGGCTGAAAGCAGACTGCCATTTAACATATTTAATGACCATCTGGAGATCATTTTATTCAAAGTTTTATTTTGTACTTTCTCTTAAGCACTTTGTACTTCTTAAGAAGATACCATTTTTCTTTTCCAGTTTGGAAACATGACTGCCTAAAAACTCAGGCAATATTTGGCAAATCCAAGGAAAAGCCAGGACTTACAGTGCTCATGGAGAGTTCTGACACGCTCAGGCCCTCCTCACTGACGCTGCCTTCCTGCGCCCTGCTGGGTGCTCTGTCACAGCTGAGCCAGTAGCAATCTCAGGCTGGCTATGCCAAGCATACCCTATGGACAAGAAACCATCTTAAAGACTTCTGTCGGGTGCTCACAGCGAGGCTTTGGCAGCAGTGTGGCTGCAGAGTTCAGTGAGGCTGGGGCTGCTCCATGCCACACACAGCTGCTTTTGGCCAGCTGGGTCTAGCAGCAGGGCAGTGTGCTTGAGTGCAAAATGCTGCCCAGCACTGAGGAGTGAGGGTAAAAGTGTGAGGAACAGCCCCAGGAACAGCCAGGCCAGAGAAGGAAGAGGAGAGACACTGGTGCAGGCACTGGAGCAGGGCTTTCCCTGCAGCTTATGTGGGACCAGCAGGGAGCTGATTATAGCTGGCCACCTCTACACTCCTTATCCCTACGCTGCATGAAGTGCCAGATGGAGGAGTTGGGAATGAATGACTGAAGTTGATGTTAGAAAAGAAAACGGGGAAGACAGAAAGTATTTTAATATTTATCTTTGTTTCCCACTACCTAAGTCTGTTTTACTTGGCAATAAATTAATTTTCCCCAGGTTGAATCTGTTTCGTCAGTGACAGAAATTGTTAAGCTATCTCCACATCTTCATCTCACTCCATGAGCTTTCTAATCGTGATCACTGTTGTACAATACAGGACCTTCCCTGGTCCTAGGAATTAGAGGGGTGGCTGGATGGGTGCCTGACTATAATCCAAGATCAAACCACTACAGAACTTAATATTTTCACAGAAATTTACATTATCTTCTATGTTTTTCATGATCACTCTACAACAAATCATCCCCTTAGCTATCATCAAATTCTTTTATGATATCTGTAACCCCAGTTCCTAAGCACTGACAACTGCCTTTATTTGAAGTATGACACATTTAAAACTTTTGTCTGAAGACACCTAACTTTCCAGATGAATTGAACCAACATTACGTTTTGGTTTTTTTTTCCATGATCATGTGGGTATACAAGAAAGTATATTCAGAGCAGAAGCTGTGGAGCAAGATAAACGGCAAGAGAAATCAATGCTGAGAACCAAGGACACCTCCAGTAGAGGAAAAACAAAGTCAATTCAGCTGCATGATGGCCGATTGGAGGAAATGTGCATGGTGAGGAATGACTCATGACTCTGATAAGTGCCTGCACACACGGTTAAATTATGGAGTACTTGTGGAATGTTTTGTTGACACGTAAAGGTGGGTGGAAAAGTTAAAAGTGAAAAACTGTGAATGTATATAAGAGACATTAGAACTAGTAATACATAATTTGGATCGTTCAAATCTGAGTCCATGCCTCAGACTCTGCATAATCATTTCATCTTTCATTCTTAAGATGTACAGACTGTCTAGAAAGAAAATTAAATTGTTAAATATTTGCACATGACAATGGCAAATACATTAAATTTGCTGAATCATAACAGAGGAATTTTACTTTTTTGTAATATGCATGATGGATTTGGCTATTTTTATTCTAAAATGCTAAATTGTATTTAATATCCTTGTTAGTTGCAGATAAATTTAGGTTAATTTATTCTTCCCCTATGTGTTTCAAATTTCTTCTATTTATGGAAGTTCTCTTTTACTACCTGACTTTGAACATCTCTTTTAGCAGATAGTCTGCATTACAAGTATTAGTTGTTACTAATATAATTATTTTCTTCTGAAGAGAAATACAGAAAGGAAGGCCAACTTGGTCATCACATGAATCACTGGCAGCATTATCATAAAACATTTCTCTTTCCCTTTGTAGGTTTTAACATTGTATTCATTAGTAAAATAATTAAGAAGTATTTTATTTGGAAATAAATTGCTAATAATTGCTTAAATAATTAGTGTTAATTTATTGTTATCCCTTCAGGATTTTGCGTTATGGAATTTTAAACTGCTAATTGACCAGCCTGTTATCAATTAAAAGTAGAAAATGCAAGACAATTATATATGGTTATATACTTGTAAAACAAACAAAAAACACACGAACTACGAAACAAAACAAAAAAGTGAAATAAGTAAAAATAGAAGAAAGTTTAGCACACTCTCTTCCAGGTATGTCTCAGCATTTTGATTACTGTTTATCTTTCCTAGTCTGTTTTGTTTTCCAAATAATGAATTCCTAACAGCGTTTTGTGTTGTTCTCACCAAAACAGTTGCTTGCTGCTTCGGTTATTAGGGTAGCAGGCATCTTTCTGAGAAGATGGCTGAAGAAGCAATGTAAAATGGTGTATATTAACGGGAGCATATTTAGCATAACTTATAAATTGATGTAATTTATTTTACGTGAGTAATAAAGAGGGAGATAGAAACACCTTCTCAGGCCAACTACTGGAAAAAAAAAAGAACACATTCAGAGTTGTAAGAGATTATTCTTGTGTGCCACTGTCAGTGCAGCTTGCTGAGGAACACTGACAGACTCTCTCCTGCTGCTCTCCCCCCTGTGCTTTGCCTCGGACCATCCAAACAGCATGCAACAGGATGCTGTTGGATCTTGGCAGTGACTATTCCTGCTTTATGTATTTCTTGTTTCTTTCCTATCTTTTCTATTTCCCGCTTTCCCTTCCCCATCACCCAAATTTGTAATAGTCACCAGCCTCCCCTTCCCCATCTCCCTGATTAAGATTCGTAATAATCTAATCAGACCAATATTTGAACTGTTGTTTCTTAATCTCAAGCAAGACAAGAGTTACCCAGGACTAAAGCAACACATAAGTGACAAATAAAGCAACAAATAAACTATCCTAAACAATTTCTTAGGGATCTGAAAGAGAGCTGAAGTGTGACTGACAACCAGCCACTATGTGAATTAAAGATTGAATGGATATGTTCAATCGTTTGCACGATGAAAAATGGAACATTCCCTTGGAAGTGATGAAGTGTTTCTTGAGCTATTATTGGTAATATTATGAAGTCAGCTCAACCTGCTAAGGGTGTTCCTATAATTTATCTAAGCTGTCATATTCTTTAATCATCTTTAATTCTGATATCCATAATGTGTAGTCAATGAATATACAGATGTTACAATCCAGAAATATACAGGAAAGTTAGGCTAAACAGGTTATCACAGTAAAGAAGAATGGATGGAAAGCTTACCCTTGTCCTGGGCTTGCTGATAAGACTCAGAAAGGAACAATCTCCAAAAGAGATCTGTCCCTACTGGTAGTCAGCTCTTAAATGGGGCCTAGGAGAGGTGGAGGCAGGCTCCAGCCTTCCAGTAGTACAGGAGAATTATCTTCATCTGTGCTCCCAGGGCTGACTCATTGCTCACTTCAGGTGGTCAATCAGAGGTTCAGGCCGTGATTCAGCAGTTCCCATACACCATAACAAATCTCTTGGATTTAATAAATAAATTATGTATTGCATTCATTTTTTTGTTTATTGTTTATGTACACATAAGCACATTTTAGGACACATTACAGTTCACATTTCAAATCTGAAATGCAAATAGAAGTGAATCAGGTTCTTAAAAATGAATGAAAGCATTGTATGGTATTATTCACAGGTAGAGTTTCTCACTTTCCTCACACTGTGACATCAGTACTAAACTCTTTTGAATGTGATGATACCTTACCCATTTCTACTCTTAGTTTAATGTTATCTATTGCCTTTAAAATATTAATTTAAAATACTTAATAAAAAATAAAAAAATATTACAAACTGAAAGGAAAGAATCCAAATATAGTTTCTTCTCTTTTCAGAGCAAATAGATATTTAGAAGGGAAAATCAGAAACACTGAGAAGCCTGTGAAAAAGTTGTGTAGCTATTACAGAATTACTGCAGAAATTCTTCATCATCAGAAAACATAGACAACACCTAGAGAGTAGAACTTCAGTAGAAAGTGAGACAATGAGACTACATCTGTCTTAATTTGCTTCACTGAACTTCACATAATATTTTTACATAATATCACAATTTTTTTTTTGTCTGTGATTTGACTGTGTCATTTGGAATTTTCTTGCTAATGTGACAGAAAATGTATTTAATATTGTTAGAAGTAACTTTATTTCAGCTGATCCTCTTAAGTCAGTTGAATTATAATTGAAAAAGAATAACATATGTAACATCTTCATTTTTCTGCTAAAGCATAAGAATAGTATCTTTATAAAATATTTCCATTATGGTAAAATAAACGACTGGAAAACTACATAAATGGTAGTTGTTGAATACTTAAAAGTAAATAGCTATCAGAATCTGAATATGTAAAACAGTTATGATTACTAAGACCAAATTTCAGAGTAAAAATTGAAATTTGAGTGTCATCACAAGTTGGAAACAAAGTTAACTGTAACCTGGCCTCCTGCACTGAAAAACATGTTGGCTGATCAGTGGTAGATTGTGCTGTGGCTGGTGAAGTAAATGCATGCAGCTTCAAGCACATGAAGATTTTGTGCACAGTTCATGCTGCTTTAGAGAACTGCAAAGTGAGGTTGACTTCCACAGCAGCTGGAAGTCGGTTGCACTCAGGGAGGCACTTGGCTGCAAGATGATCAAAGCTGAGTGTCCTCAAAAGCAAGTCCTGGATTCTAGTGTTTATAATTGTGGTTGGCATGGGGACTAAAGGCAGTCTCTGGAAGGAGGAATACGTTTCAATTAATGCAATTTATTTCACTTTTTCATATTTCTGAGTTTTCAGCTTTCATCTCCATGTCGCTAATTTTTAAAAAAATTCTTGTCATCCCCAAAGATAAATGCAAACTGTATTTCAAACAGATTTTTCTTCTCTCAAGATGTCTGCTCTTCCAAAATTGTATTCCTTGTTTGCTGAACTCACAGCTGCAACAACAAATACTTTATATTCCTCTTCAGTCATGAATGTGCCTTTCATAATTTGCTCTTTCCCTTTTTCATTTTATTCCCACTTTTAGTCTGTCATACTCAGCTTCATAAATGCCTTCCAACCCTCTGTTATACTCCTCATCTACTTCTAGGAAGTGTAATCTCTAACTGCCTCCTTCCTTTTGCTGAAATTGTGATTAACTAACAAACTATATATCCTATTTCCCAAATCTAAAAATTATTTTAATGGAAATGATATGTTGTGTTCTTTACAAATCCGTTATAAAAATGGGGCTCAAACTTGCAGCTCAAGTGTGCAAACACACTGCAGAAAACAGTATTAGAAATTACAGATCTTGAACTGAAATATGCATTCAGTATTTCAGTTTACACAAAGAAATCACTGTAAGAACAAATTCGGTGATTGACATTTTTACCAACTGCCTTTTCAGTTTAAATTTTAAACTGGAGATGGAGAAGATGCTTGGAGAGCAAGGTGAAAGGAAAGACACAACTGACAGGCCAACATGCAATCAAACGCCGTCATTTCATAAAACAGCCTTGTTACAATCACAAGACATGATTGTCAAAAATTTACCAGGGTCATAACCATTAATCATTTTATTTAGCTGATAAGCAGGCAGCTTGCTGACTTAATTATATGTAACAGCACCCTTAAAATTTCTGTACTTGCATAAATGTTGACAACACTACAAATTTGTATTTGGGCATTCTTGTTACTCAAGTGACTTCAGAGTCTAAACGTTAATTACACTTACATAATTATTGTGCTGACAATTAATCTGAAATTCTGTGCTGAACACAGAATGTTTACTTTTTTATCCAAATTGACATATTTGGTTTATTCCCTCAGTCACAGATGTACAGCCACCCCTTCGTCAATCTGGACTAACTGCATTATGTTAATTAGAAAAGAAAGTTTAATTTCTTTCTCCTGTGTACCCAAAGGAATCAAGAGGACATGGTTGCTAAGACACATTCCCGTAAAAGAGAAGTTTCTATGTAGTCATAACCAGCAAGTGCTGATTATGTGCTGAAAAGAAACTTCTGTTAACAGAAAGCAAAGAACTAAATTTTAATGATTAAAAATTACTGTGCAAAACTGGAAGAACCTTAATAAGACAAAATTTAATTTGTGATTAAAAAGAGTATGCTTGGCCATTAAGCTTGGCAGCTGAGGTTGAAATGTGTACTGCAGTAAAAGAAGCTCGGCACAAATACTCAAAATTGGTTATTATTTTCCTAATTATTTTCACAACCTCCTGCTATTTTTTACAAGTAATAAAACCCTATAAAATGTAGAGGCCTTAATTGTTCTATTCCAATGCATATAGTGCACACATGAGGCAATTTCTTTAAGTAAATATTTCCTTCCTATTGTCTGTAAATTGTTTAAAATTTGATGAATATTTTATGCTTAATTCCATTTTCTTACATTTAATAGTAAATAACTTATGAAACTTTCTTTAAAATATAGTTGCAAATTGAAAATATTTCTCATATCCAACCTCTGTAAATTACACAGTTACTAATTCCTCAGGCTGGAAATACAGTTGAACTGTTTGCTACAAAATATTATACAACTGGTTATAAGCTCAAAGATAGTTTTCGATTAAGTTCACACAAATTTAAGAGGATGCAAAATGAGAGCAATGTTTATATCATCTCTGGAAACGAAGATGAAAATTTGTATCTAGAAAAACCTCACCAAATGCAGCCAGTATCTCAGCATAGGAAATTTTCAGGCTTTTTTTTCTGTTACTGCTGTGTGAGATGTACTGGAACTAGTAACTCTACGCGAAACTTGCTAATTTAACTAGTTTGCCTAAAGCTTGTTCTAATAATGGAAAAAATCTGAAAGTTCCTCTCCTTAACTAGCTGTTAAGGTAAGAAATATCACAAGGACCATCTCCCAGGGCATTTGAGAGATGAGAAAAACTGGGGTTTTAATTATGGAACCTCTCTTCCGTAGGCATCTGTCTAATTGTTCATAGCCAGGAGCTTCGGGGAATAACGACTTTTCAAAGCTTGCTACTGAACAAACTGAACTCTGACAATTCTCCCATACAGAATGCACAAATATTTAGCTCAATAGCTCATTAGTTGCTCAGCACCTTAATGAGTGCATATGCATTAGCCAATGAAGTACTACTTTATATTTTTAAGTGATGTATATTTTGCTCGCAGTTTCTTTGTAAGTGCTTAATGAGCCTTGACCCAAGATGGTCTGGATGCCATCTTCTCCAAGGGGTACTTTGTGTGGCTGGTCATGTGAATGCCTCCTATACTGCATGTGCAGTCAAGTAAGCCACAGACTCAGGCCTCAATGTGAATTTTAAAACTTCTCCTTTTCTTTCTATTTTTTGATCATATAGTTCATCATTTCTATGCATAAGTATGCATAGTATCCAGCAGTACGTCTTAAAATCCCGTATAAAATACATCCACAACAAATGAGCAATATAAAAGCACATTATGTTCAAAATTGTATAAACTTTTAGGTGTTAGATTAATTATATCAGTAACTTCGAGAACATATGGCACTTGGCAAAAATTATAAGAATAATGATATCCCACAAATGTTATCTGGTATTTCAGAATTAATGCTTTATTAATTAAATCCTCAGTAAATAGATGATCTTTGATCATCTTCAAGTCTTTATAAACAGGTTTTTTAACTTTACATAATTTGAAAACATATGTATTTTGATGAGATATTGCCTCCCAACTTCCTATGCGTTTTTCTGACAGTCTCAATTGAAAAGTATTTTGAGTAAATTTATTTTCTGTTCCCCATATTGAATACTAATATGACAACAATGGTTATAACAACACTTAAGTATATTTGTCCAAAAAAGTTTATTTCATATAGCAGAATAACTCAGAATACTTTGTATAAGAGCAATAGAATTAACTCCTGAAAATCCTTCATAATTCTTGCAGTTTCAGTTCATGAAAGACTATATTATCCCTTCACATTGTATCAGTATGCATTCGTGCTATATTGGTTAAAAGGATACCACTTCACAGTTTATGCCCCGTCAAATTCAAATACACCCACAATGTTTGACAAGACTAAATTGTACATTTACTTGTCATTTCAGTGCTGTTGATGTTTGAAAATATTATGGCTCTGAGCAGCAAGCACTAATCACATTCTTTTGTTATTAAATCCTACTCATGCATTGACCTAAAGAATTCCAAATTCCTTCCTAAAAATAAAAAAAAAGCTAAGTGAAATTGTGTTTCAAATTCATCAAGAAACGATGCAAACCCCTACAGTAATCTCCATCACAAAGTCCTCAGGTATTTTCATAGCCAGTATTTCTCTGT